GGTGGCGGCGGTGTTGGTACGATGGCAGCTGGAGAGCTGGGAAAACTGGCGGCGCCTCCGGACAGTAAGTGTGTACTGTGTGCAGTCTGCGTGTGCGATAGTGACGGGGGTGGCTGCGCAAAGTCAGAAGGTTGCGTGGCCGCTGCCGCCGATGCAGGTATGTGTAGTTGCTGTGTGGACTTGACTTTCATGCCAGCCAGCATGCTGGGCAGGTGTCCGGTACTAGGGCCTGATGAATGAAGAGCTCCTGCTCCTGATCGTTGGTAGTCAAGCGGCCCACCCATAGCAGCCATGGCCTCCTGCTGCTGTTGCTGCCGCTGCTGTTGCTGCCGCTGCTGTTGCTGGTGACCTAGCAGGAGTTCATGCTGCTGCTGCTGTTGCTGGCGTTGCAGGGCAAGCGTAAACGACTCCAAGCCTTGGCCGTGTCCTGCGGTGGCAGTGGCGTCATCCCTGGCGAACGTACGCGGGCCACCCAGGAAGCTCTGCGTCTTCTCCGAGCTCATGGTGAGGTCGGCGGGAAGGCCTCCTCCTCCCCCGACCGTGTCCCCTACTCCCGTTATTGTCGACATTGCGGATACGGCGGCCTGCGTGGCATGTGTGCTGTTGGTGTCGGTGAGATACGTGGATGATGCGGTAGAGGAGAGGAAGGACTGTTGCAGATGATCATGGCTGGTGAGCGCTGACGATGACCCGACTAGAGACGACGCTGGCAAATTGGCACCGCCTGGGCTAGACTGCTTACTACTGAACTGCTGCTGTTGCTGCTGGTGATGTTGTTGTTGTTGTTGTTGTTGTTGTTGTTGTTGTTGTTGTTGTTGTTGTTGTTGTTGTTGTTGTTGTTGTTGTTGTTGCTGTTGTTGCTGTGCTCGCTGAATTGGGTCTATACTACATAACTCCGGTATGCTAGACGCCGATGAAATCTGTGCAGAGGTGCAGAGGTAGACAGAGAGTGCTCGATTATCAGTGAGGTACACAGAGGTGGAGGTGGGGAGGGGAGGGGGAGGGGGAGAGAGAGAGAGAGAGAGAGAGAGAGAGAGAGAGAGAGAGAGAGAGAGAGAGAGAGAGAGAGAGAGAGAGAGAGAGAGAGAAGAGGAGATAAGTATGTGAGCGAAACAATAACGAAATGCTACCAGTTCACGTACGTGTGTATGCATGCGTGCGTGTCTTGTTTGAGGTTGCGAGCATGCGCATGTGCTTGTATGTGTCAGCATGCGTGTATCCGGGAAGGTAGTGATGTCGCTGTCCCAGCAAGGCTCTACTTTCATTGGAACCTACCTGGGAATAGGGTTTCTGGTTGCGAGTCAGTGCCGATGTGCTCCGCTTCAATCTCACGGCACCGCCACCGCCACTACCGCCGCCACCACCACCACCACCGGCAGCTGTGCCGATAGCTGGTGGCATGGACGATGCCGGTAGGCCACTTCCGCCACCGGAGGATGACGTCCTGCGCTGGTGGATGTTCGTCAAACTCTGGCTGGAGCCTGGGAGAAGAGCTGCACACACACACACACACACACACACACACACACACACACACACACACACACACACACACACACACACACACACACACACACACACACACACACACACAAAAGCAAGTGAGAGAGAGAAAGAAAGAAAGAGAAAGAAAGAAAGAAAGAAAGAAAGAGAAAGAGAGAGAGAGAGAGAGAGAGAGAGAGAGAGAGAGAGAGAGAGAGAGAGAGAGAGAGAGTGGGAGAAAGAGAGAGAGAGAGAGAGAGAGAGAGAGAGAGAGAGAGAGAGAGAGAGAGAGAGAGAGAGAGAGAGAGAGAGAGAGAGAGAGAGAGAGAGAGAGAGAGAGAGAGAGTACGGAACACTTACCAAACAAGAGACATGCTACTTAGTCAACATTGTGGATAACAACAGCGTCAGGTATACCAATAACTGTAATTAATTTACAAAATAACAACACTATCTTCAGCCCTAGCGGCCATTCGACTGCAGATGTTCAACCTCACGAACAACGACAACTTGCCAAGAACATGTTGTTGCACGAGCCAGGGTCATTATCCGCAAAGTCGACCGCGGCATATAGCACAGTTCAGCGCGTGAGAACAGTACTCTCCCGGATACCGTAATAGCGTGTATTAAAGCCGGGCGTATTCTCGTAGAAGCCGATGTCGGGGCTAGGCTTCTGTTTGCATCCGGCCTCTACTCAAACCAGGTACGTCTACATGTACATGTATGTCAACACGAAACCAGGCTTATGTGCCGAGAGTGTAACTTGAAAATCACGAGTGTATTCTAGGCAAGCTTCTACACTGGACAGGCTTCCATACAGGGCAGCAAGACAGTGTTCCGCTCCTTCTCTTCACCATGCTCTTCACTTTATAGTACAGTTCAGGACTGGCAGAAGAAGTTTTCGATTGGTCTGGCCATACCCGGGGCGTCGGAAGGTATTTTAGTGTGGTACGGTCAGTCATCTGAAGTGCAGTTTACTTGTGTGGGAGGGATGGCGGAGGCGAAAATTTTGGAAAATTAGTGCCCAAATCAGTGTATTATATTGATTCACTGGGTACCTGAGGCAAAAATGGTACGGTCAATAGCGTAGTGACCGCACCGTGTCCGATGTCCCTGTATGCCCTGGTCTTTCATACAGTTTTGTGTACGATGATGATACACGTGTATGATATGGAGGGTAGTCACATGACTTTCATACAGTTTGTGTATGATATGGAGGGTAGTCACATGACTTTCATACAGTTTGTGTATGATATGGAGGGTAGTCACATGACTTTGATACAGTTTGTGTATGATATGGAGGGTATATACATGACTTTCATACAGTTTGTGTATGATATGGAGGGTATACACATGACTTTCATACAGTGTGTGTATGATATGGAGGGTAGTCACATGACTTTCATACAGTTTGTGTATGATATGGAGGGTATACACATGACTTTCATACAGTTTGTGTATGATATGGAGGGTATACACATGACTTTCATACAGTTTGTGTATGATATGGAGGGTATACACATGACTTTCATACACTTTGTGTATGATATGTAGCGGGGTATACACATGACCTCCTCAGCAGTAAACACACGTTGGTAGCCAAACAGTTGGTCCGGCCATGGCCTAACCAACCAGACCGGTTTCGTCGGGCCTGCGGTATGCTAGAAATAAACTTTGACTACCGGTCAGAGTACCGTTAGTACAGTATACTAGCTCGCTTCATTGAATTTTGCTGTATTTGAGTAGGGTTCCAATGTACTGATCACATTCTTCCTTTCAAGCAATTGTTTTCAGCACTTCAATTGTGTTCCACTCCCCCATAAATTGCAAATTGTGTTTTGCTTGCCCGTAAAAGAGGTTTCTGTATGCTGGAAATATTCAAGGTGATGATGTGTAATGTGAACTTACGATGTACTCTGTTCATGGTATCACCTTGCTTTGCACCAGCACCTGCAGCACCTGCACCACCACTGACAGCAGTAGTGTGACTATTACTGGCTACAGCCACAGCGCTGCCTCGCGTTGTTAACGATGACATCATGTTGTCCCCGGCATGCCGCTCCACACTGACCAGGTGCCCGTCGCTACCGGTGATCATTGCCATGGCGGCGCCGCTGCCTCCTCCTCCTCCTCGGTGGCCAGTAGCTGTGTGGCCATCGCTGTATGCAGGTAGGGGGTTGATGAAGGGAAACGCACCCTGCTGCTGTTGCTGCTGCTGTTCGTTCAGGTTGGGCAGGGATCCAGCCTTGGCTAACGCTAGTCGGTTGCTCTCTGATAGTGCCTGGCCACCACCACCACCACCAGCTGGCTGTGATCTGCAAAACATATACAACAAGAACAATAGCCATGACACCAATAACAACAGTAGCAGCAGCAACAACAAAAGCAGCAACAACAGCAGTAGCAGCAGCAACAAAAGCAGCAGCATCAGCAGCAAGAGGCACAGGTGCTAGCAGAACTGCACAATCATAGGCTGGGGCAAGAACGACAACAATGACAACAATGGCAACGATGACGACGACGACACATAACTGATTGGCACTAGTGTATTAGTGAACCAGATCATGAGAGTGCATGCAACCCGCTCAGTTACCATAGCAACCTGAGTATCACGCACTCACCCATGCATCCACGCTGCAGTTTGGCTTGCACCGTGGCCGGCAGATCGAAGGCCACTACCGGCCGCTGCCATGCCATGTGATGCCGATGATGGCTGCAATGATGTAACACGAGAAAGAAACACAAGAACTATTACGTGTGTAACGTTAGGGGGAATGCTGAGCGCGCCGCCAGCGTGCACCGAGTCTGACATTTCACACCCGGTGGATAGCACACCTCCTGGTCCGCTCCTTACGGGGTCACATAGTCATTTATGGCTGTGGAAGAAGGAAGGAGAGATGGGGGGGGGGGGGTGACCTGTCACAGGCGCGTTCGCAGGGGGGGGGGGGGGGGGGGGTTCCAACCGAATTGCAAACAATACTCGTTTTAACCCTTTCTAAAGAGCCCTAGGAATTTTTCAAAATTTTGCATTTTTCTCGTGTTCTTTGGATCATAACGTCAGTTCTATAGATCTACTCACTCAATCTTCATTATCTTAGGCTTCCTGGAATGGAAGTGGAAAGGTGCCAGGGAGAGAATGAGGTCGACCATGATAGCCAGGACACAGTACAGCCATGTGCATATCCAGCGCTATATACTATAGCGGTAGAGTGCAGTGACGGTGCGAAAAAAATGCCCCAAACTGGGCCAAAAGCCCAAACGTGTCCTGCTCCAGCAATTTCGTTTTTCTTGATCGCAGAGTTTGTTGCTGTGTACTCTTGAAAATAACACAGGTGAAGCCCCTGAGCAAGTCAGCGTGACGAAAAGTCTCAAATTCTCGATACTCGAGTCGCACTGTGCGCTTTTGAAATTGCGAGATCGCGGCTCAACTCACGAACAATTTATCTCAAAAGACATTGCTTGAAGCGCGTCGCAAATTGTTTCAACCGACAGCTGAGAGTTTTCTATTCGACCTGGATATTTGGATCGTTGGATTTGGGCCAGATTTGACTGAGGTACGATCTGTTTAAGTTTTGCAATTCTTGCCAGATCGATCGTGCGCCCTACCAAAATATGCCCAAAAACGTGGCTCGTTAGGAACATTTGGGGGGGGGGGGGGGTTCCGGGCAACGTGGCTCGTTAGGAACATTTGGGGGGGGGGGGGGTCCGGGCAACGTGGCTCGTTAGGAACATTTGGGGGGGGGGGGGGGGTTCCGGGCAACGTGGCTCGTTAGGAACATTTGGGGGTTTCCGGGCGACAAAAAACATAGACACAATACATGGAATACCAATGCAGTGGGCTGGGCCAAAGGTCTGCCGCAGTTGCAGCTAGATTCTGTTTGTTTGTTTTTGATTTATTTTAGTTCGTTGCCTCAACAGTACAGCTTCAAAGAGGGTCGAAAAGGGAAAAAAATTAACAGAGGGTCATTTGAAAGGGAGCCTACGGTGGGAGAGAAAAAAGGCTCGTGGCATGCAGCCACACGTTGCATTGCAAAGCATGATTATATTGAACAGTGCTTTGCACTGGCAATGTGTATTGTAATTCCTTACCACACCACCGCCAGTGGTAGCATTGTCACCCAGTAGTGTGTGCTCATGCTGTAGCTGGGCAGCGGCGGTAGCAGCATGATGACGATGCGAACTGTCATTACCTGTAATCAACAAACAGCAGCAGCAGCAGCAACAGCAACAAACAGCGTCGACCAAGTTGTTACAAACACACACTGGCCCAGTTCAAGAATTAGGGTCTGTGCAGAGAAGTTCGCATCAGGCGCGTAGGTCATGTGTAGCCGGTGTAGTCCCGCCATCATACCAGCAAATGACCATCATAGTTAGTACATAGTCCATATAGGCAACATGACGGCTATGACGTCGTTGCCGGTGGTGCATGGTCACCACACCACGGATGCACAGACTACTCCCCTGGTGCGGGGGAGAAGGAGGACAGGGGGATTTAATGATTTAAAAAAAAAACCCAGGTGGCCATAGTTCCTACAACCACGTCAATCTGATCTGGTTGTCGTCAAACGCCCTCGCACAGTTGGTGCTAGCTATTCAATACACTACACAATGCCTTACATATACGGGCATGCAGACATGTATACATGCGCCATAGTCCATGTTTGGACGGGGGCGGCATGCCATACATACGTGAGTACATGCAGCATAATTTGCACACAATTCGCCTTGGTGACATGGCATGTCGGTGGCCTTTCCAGGCAGTGAGTGGCATCTAAGCTCGCTCTGCCACTATGCTGTGCTTAGTGTTATATAGCGAGCACTGTAAACTGGTTTCCCTGTAAACTAGTCTCCCTGTAAAATGTAAAACTGTCCAGCTACATGAAATTCTGTATCACTGTGATGTAGAAAAATTGACTGTCACCACCAGGACTCGAACCAGGGACCCTCGCTTGTAGCTAGCGATGCTCTAACCACTGAGCTATGGTGGTACTGGTGGTGACAGTCAATTTTTTCTTCAGACTTTTCCCGTTTGTCTCTTTCCCTCAAACTAGTGAACACTGTGATGTAATAAAACTTTAAAGTCCCTGGTTTTGAGTACTCTCTGGTTTTGAGTACTCTCTGGTTTTGAGTACTCTCTGGTTTTGAGTACTCTCTGGTCATGTTGCTGTTGTTGACCACAATCATATATCTTCCTGTACTACTGCCCCCCCCTGTACTGTTGTCTACATGAATAATGTCTTCATGTAATGCTGTCTACCAGGTTAATGCCACCAGCATAGGCAATCACCGTGATTAGCAGCCACTTAGCCCTGTGGCATGGCACTTCAGAACTCTCCCCTGGGGAAACATGTTCTCCTGTGGGTTTTCATCCATTCACACAACTACACACAGGGGAACCGCACAATGTTGCAATACTGGACTTGAATACTGATATGATCATTTGACCGCGCTCTAACGTTACAACCTGGGAGAGCCTACTGTAATGCCATGAGTCGCGTATGAAAGCCATGCTTATCCCTGTAGCAGCCAATGTCAGTGCGAAGCTTCTATTCGAACCACGTATCTCTATTTATGTCAATACTAAACCAGGCCTAACGTTATGTGCTGACAGTGCATCTTAAAAATCAGGCTTGTGTTCAAAACGGTGGCCATCTGCGCCTTGATCCTTGAAGGGCGGTGGCGTTCCTACGGATGCGGAAAACTCAGCCTCTAGCCTAGTCTGACGTGAACTATGAATCTTTTTAAATTGTATTCAAAACAGGCTTCTATACAAGACAGGCTTTTATACAAGCCACTGAGGTCTAGGGGATCAGTGCCCAGTAGCTGTACAGGCAGTGCATGTAGTGGTACCTGGCCATGAACAACAGGAGTGGCACTTAACACCAGTGCCTCAAGTAGAAGGTGTCACTTCAGAGAAGACTGCCAGACACCGTGTGTATAACCCAGGTGGTGAAACTGGCCCACACACACACATGCACACTCATCCAGGCCTCTCTCTCTCTCTCTCTCTCTCTCTCTCTCTCTCTCTCTCTCTCTCTCTCTCTCTCTCACTACCTATCTATCTATTTATCTATCTATCTCCCTCTCATTCACCTTCTCTCTCGTCTCCCTCCTTCCCCCAGTTAGAGTGTCGATGCTTTGAGACGACTAACACGTGTTTCATCGCTCCATACTCAGCTCAATACTCATCGGTCTGGCCAGTCACTACAAGAGTTAGGATGTGATATGGGAGGATTCTGTGCGGCGTGTACTATCCACAGCAAACATATTGCTATCTCCCAGGGGTCACCTCCCGCTCCTCCTTTCATTATGAACAAAGACTTGAATTGTGTGTGTGTGTACAGAGAGGGGGGGGGGGGGGGGGGGGCAGTAGTATTGACAATAAAACCCTCCGCAATTCCACATCGCTTTGACTCCCAAGGCTCTCGCCCCACCGCAACTTGTTACCTTACACAGATCAAATCCCTACGCCGAACATGACCTTACAAGAGGTGTAACACAAACTCCTCATTCCTAGAGGGGCTATTCACCCAGAGTGGTGCAACACAAACATCACCAGATCCCTCTAGCGCTTCAATGGGTGACCACTTCCACGACAGTCAAATCAGACGAAATAGGCCAAGAACAGCACAGAGGAGACACAGTGAGATTGTGGCAATGAAGAACACTTGGCGATCGGCACTGTCTTGAGTCTTGGCGAGGGACCAGGTTAATGCCACTGGGCAAAATTACACAATCCTCAGCTATGTGTTTCATTGCATTCTTTGCCTAAAAATACTCATGCACACGTGCATGCACTAACATAATATCTCTCCTTCTCTGAGAAGATGAAACCACATCATCTTCATGATGGTGTATTAGGGGTGAAACGGTTCGGGTAAGGAACCGGTTTAGGAACCGCCAGCTGAAAAGAATCGGGTACCCGTTCCGTCAAATTTCGAACCGAAACTCGATAAATCTCGTTATCGTACAAATACATGTACATGTCAAGTCTACTCAAGATTTAAAAATGTCTTACGTTGCGATCACCGCTCTTCCAAAGGGTTCTCTTGGTCATTATCTTCTTCGTACATGGACTCTCTGATGTCTCGTCCTTGCTCGTAAAATTGTTTTCTAAATAATATTTGTCACGAACTCATTTTGTCGGCCTGGAGAAAAGAGTGCATGGAACCGATACCCGAACCGTGGGAAACTATGCTGGCATTAGGGTACCCGAACATGAAAAACATGGAACCGTTTCACCCCTATGGTGTATGCTTTGCATGGAGTGCCGCTGAATCAGTACTGTACTGACGCTATCACTTCATAAAAACTTCCCAAATGACGGCATAACCTGGTGCCAAAGTCAGACTCACTTGCACCACCTCTATTATATTACTATCTCAAAGATTGTCGGGCATTCTTTAGCCATTGTCGTTATGGCAAGCGAACAGCCATTCCTGTAAGCCCGGCCTCTAGAGATTTTCTAATCAATCACTGATCCCAATCCAGCAGAATCTCAGTCACCTCAACCGTGCAGGAATACACAAGAACTACAGTAGCATAGACCCCTCACAGCATAGTGCATATCCCTCACAGCATACTGTGTATCCATCCATAAGTCTGAAAGACCTTTCGTTGCCTGTCACCACTACGGCTAGTCTCTGATCTGTCACAGGACAGGAAGAGGAGTTGAGGAAGCAGCCCGGGGGGGGGGGGGGGGGAAGATGCAGCAGTACAGCTTGCTACACTGCATCAAACACATCTCCTCCAATGCACTATAGCTGGTTTTCTACCCAGTTTAAAGTGACTTCATTGTATACGCAATGATATTGCTGTATACGCAAAGTTATGGCGTTTGAAGCATCAGAGTCTCCTACCTCACTACCAGTGCCACACTCACGTCGCATCTCCCTCCTCACCATTAGAGGCTAGTCTAAAAGGTTGTGACTTATATTCGTGGAAATGTTTGTATCCAGTTCAAGAAAGTCTTACCAGCAGACGCAAGACTGTGGCCAGGCTGAAGTGGTGGAGGTGTACGCAAATCCGAGTCAGAGTTTGAGACATTCCTGCTCCAAAGGCAAACATCAAACACAGAACAAGCAGAGGAAAGATGCGCTCTTCAACAACGGCTCGTGCATTCCTGGTGCCATCTAAAAAATATAAAAAAGTTTCGTACAAATGCGTTTTAACACTTGTCACCACTGGCCGCATAGCCATGTGTAGAAACACGACCAGCTTAGAGACGTTACGCTGGTCACTGCCAGAACTATGCAAGCTGTGCAAACAAGCCAGGCTTATTGATCATCTCCCCTCCCCCAACAAACAAAGGTGCCGGTGCAGAGGGGGGGGGGGGATGATCAATAAGCCTGGCTTGCTGCACTGTACATTAGCTTACCTGCGCGGACTACCCTGTTGAGAGGTAGCCATCACATTACCCATACACAACATGTGACATGTACAATGCTAAAATGCGGCGGGGTGTACCCCCCACACACACCCGACCACTAAATTTGTATCTGTATTCATTCAACATTTCCTGGCTCGTCAAACGACTGCCAATAGCAAATGACTGTGAAACAAGAAAAGGTGCCGCGTAGAGGGGGGGGGGGGGGGGGGAGGAGGAGGAGGGTTCATAAGCATGGCTTGCTGCATCGTACATAAGCTTACCTGCGCGGACTGCCCTGTTGAGAGTTAGCCATCACGTGGTTGGGAATGACTGGATGTATGCCGGACTGCTGCTGGAGTTGCTGCTGTGCTGTAGACTCCATGTACGCTAAGAATGGGAGTATGCTTGTCAAGGAAAATACAAACTATAGCTTTACAAATTGGTAACATAACATTGAGTAGCGTGTGGGAGTTGAAAAGTCAAGCCGTTGGAAGACAAAGTGACAGTTACTATCCGGACTCGAAGCAGGATTTACGTTAGGCAAGGGACATTCTACTACAGTCAACCTTGCGGATAACGACACTCGGCGGCGGGGCAGCAGAAAAGTGTCCTTATTCGCGAAGTGTCGTTATACCCGAAGTCTCATTATATGTATTACAGTTGGAAGGGACTTTGCTCTGGGCATGGAAATGTTGTCGTTATTCGCGAATTGTCGTTATATCCGCAGTCGTTACTACCGAAGTTGACTGTACTAAGCGATGGTGCAGTCATCCCAGCCGCAAAGGCTGATCAACATGTTCTTCAGACTTTGAGGTCATATTCCCAGTAAAACGACAAGCGGGTAGGTCGCGGCCCCTCCGTATCTACAGATTTCACGTACAATCTAAAACACGGGATTTTATGAATCTTGAAGGTACACATTGAAAGGATCAGTCGGGGAAGTGAACTGCCTGAAAAGAGAGAAAAACCAGACTCACCATGACTCGAACCCGGGACCTTGCTTGTCATGAGCAAATGTCTAACCATCTGAGCTATGGGACCAGGCTGAACCTAGATGTTGTGAGCTGCCTTTGGAGTGAAAAGCCGCCTTCTAGGTTCGGCCTGGTCCCATAGTTCAGATGGTTAGAGCATTGCCCATGACAAGCAAGGTCCTAGATTCGAGTACCTAATTATTATACTCAAGTAGCAGTAGTTCACAGTGTAGATGTCCTCCTAGTAAGTAGTAGTCATAGCATTTACCCAATGGCATCACAAGCACACAAAAACACACACAATGATGTACACAGCCCCTGGCTCTGGTAGTTGTAGTACTAGTAGTAGTACTGCTACAACTGCAGGGTTTATTTTCTATTGGGATTTTCTTATTTATTTGATTTGATTTTTCTTATTTACTTTACTGGATTTGTCACCATTGCCTTCTTTGCTTGCGCTTTTCGAATTCTTCATGCCGACACCCAGTTTGTTTTCAACTAAAGGCAAAGTTCTCAGTAGTACTAGTAGACTGCAAAGAAGTAAGAGGGTATGATAAATAATTGTATTGATACAACTGCAGCCTCTCAGTACCTTACTACATCATTACATGTATCTGCATGCTTGCCGCATGACCTGGTCCGCAGTGTTTAGTGCCATGGTCGGGCTCAGTCAGCTGTAGACAAATGACAGCTACTTGTACAATAAGTCATGTACTTGCAATCACACTCCACTGCTGCTGTTGAGTGCTGGCACACACCAACTACAGGTCTACTCTCCTTACTAGACAACCCCAGAGGGTTTCAAAATTTTGTCTTGTAACGAATATTTGAATGTACGCGTTTCAGGCGTCAGGGGATTTGCGATCCTTGTCTACTAATGAGGTTTGTCTTGTAACTGACGTCGTACAGTCGACCTACCCTTATAACGATATTTGCGTCAGACCAAGAAATATTGTTATAAGGGTAATATTGTTATAGGGGTAACTGGTTCATTTCATACACATACGTCATAATGCATGGATTTTGTTCAATTTTTTACACTCTTCATAGCATAAAAAAACTGACATACATGCACATCATGTACACAGCAAGGTGCCCACTGGTGCCCCCATTGCACTTCGTCATGTCCCAGCAACTTATCAAGTGAAACTTGCCCTCAGTGACCTGCCATGGGATAGTGGGCTCTACATCTTCCCTGCTAGATATTGTTATAAAATGGAAAATGTTGATTGGTCAGCCCATTTTATATCGTTATAGGGGTAATATCGTTATAGCAATATTGTTATAAGGGTAGGGCATTGTATACAAAAGTCAATGGAGTGATTTGGTTTGGCAGAAAAATATCGTTATAGAGGTTATCGTTATAAGGGTACCGTAAAAGTCCGTAAATAAGTACCTGCCCGAAAGAAATACCCCCTTCATTCTTTTGGCTCTGTCTGTTGAAGTCAAGTCAAGCCCGATAAACATACCGCCCGAAATAAGTACCGGTACGATGCGCACATGCAGCACGTAGCATGTACATCGTAGCATGTACATCGACATGAAAATGACTTCTCCACTACACACTAGTCAGGTCCGAAAGTTAGTTCATGCCCGAAAGTCAGTACCTGCCCGAAAGTTAGTACGGGTGTGGTCACTAAATTCGAAAGTAAATACGTACTTATTTACGGACTTTTACGGTAATATCGTTATAAGGGTAGGTCGACTGTACTAACAAGGGAGACCTGTACTAGTAGCAGGAGGTACACAAACAATAACCATTATTCATCGTTTCTCCCACACACTCGCTGGTGTTAACCCTTCCTTTCTTTTCATTTTGCTAACACGTGCAGCTCTATCTTTTGTTTTTTCGTGGTGCGCGTTTTGGCCGTGATGCCGAGACCTCAGGTCGGCAGAGCCATCAATGCCCCACCATCACTGCTGCGTCTCGGTGCATCCCCTGCTCAGTAGCTGTCACATTGTCTCTAGTCTCAATACCATTCGCTTTCTTTATTATTTTCGAGCTGGGAATGTGAACATAGTACAAATTAATTAAAAAATAGTGTGAATATCTGCAGCACTATCTCCTGGACTGTCTGTCCGCAACGCTCATCTGTACTGCTGTCCAAGAACTACTAGTACATATCCTAGGAAGTGACTCTGCATACTAGTACGCCACCACTCTGCACCTCTACTGCTCTAGCCTAGCCTCAAGCGTATTTTCTTTCCAGGGTGTTAGCCGCACCCCCCCCCCCCCCCTTCGGGCCCAAGATTAGTACTTTTGTTGGCATTTGGTGTATAAATTGCATGTCAAACTTTAAATTTTGGCAACCCAACTGAATCGATACAGGTACGTATAAGCGTAATAAGATCCTATCCACCGGCTATGTGTCCAACTTCTGCGTTGGTGATTCTTAAAATCGATGCCAGTGATGTTTTACCGAGCATATTTTTGATTTTAAGGAGGATACGATGTCTGGCTCCCATCACGGGTGGCGCGCTGCTCTTCCGTCCGTGCGCCTGCTGTGCCAGTAGCTGCTGCTGCTGTTGCTGCTGCTGCTGTTGCTGCTGCTGGAGGTGCTGGTGATGTTGGTGACTGTTGTAATGATACGAAGCGTGTGACGACGAGGCGGGAGATTCCGACGCTGCGCGGTACATGTTGTTGGACAGCGAGGTGGCCGCACCAGCGAGCTCGGTCGCTGAGCTGCAGTGCAGCTGGTTCTGCATCTGGTAGTGGCCAAAGCCACCGCCTCCACCGTGACTGTGTGAGGTATCGTGCAGTAACTGACCCGAGCCGTCCACATAACCGCCCTGAAGGACAATGGAAATGGCAGAAAAGAATAGAGAAGAGATTTGAGGAAAACAATTTTCCGTGCGACCTATAGTTTTAGAATCTGCTGTGCCGGTGTGCTGGTGTGTCCGAGCTTCAGGTAGTCCTACATCATGCTTGTTACGTACTTGACCTTCACAGACTCTTGTACATAATGCTAGAGACTATGCGTGACTGCCACTGTGTCAGTGCCAGATGTAGCAGTGACCTACAGTGGCAGGCGGAGTGATAACGCATCTACAGTGAAATCTAGCGCTACGACTTACTCGTTCCAGTGCGTAGTAATCACTGAAGAGAGCAGGGCCTCCGGCGGCAGTGGACGGGTACTGGTGAAGGTTGGGAGACGAGTGTGCCATGCGATTGCCTCGGTGGAAGTCCGGTGTGGGGTACATGCCATGTGCATGTGCCAGGGGCATGGCGGGCTGCATATACACACACGTACGCACACAAACCCATAGCACGTGCACGCACACGGGCGCACACACACACACACACACACGCACAACGCCAGCACGTACAGTGACAAAAGACACCGGGAAGAATGAGATGAGCACATCAGGATACACTGAACATGTACAGGATCAGGGGCAAGACAGAAGCTGTTTCGACCTAGTTAGGTCTCCTCCGCAGATCTCAGAGTCAGTAGCCCAAAAGAAATGAAAAAGCCTATCAAAGTCAGAGTGCTCTAAACTGCGAGAAACACAGCGATCTTTGTACGACACGGTGGCAGATAACTTTGACACTATCCTGAAAGAGTGCTGAGCCAGGGAGTCGTCAGACTAACCCGCGGTTAACAACAATCTTCAGACCTACCCCACCACTTGATTGCATACTTTCAACCTCACGAATAACGACAACTCACGAATAACGACACTTTCCCCATGCACGGCCCGAGAGTTGTTAGTTTTCCAGTAGAGGTGCTGACCTTCCTGTGATCCTCAACTAACATTACATTGAGAAAATACTGTCGTGGACGTGGAAATCCAGTCGACTGACCGGGGCCGGCGCCGTCAGCACGTACAGAACGCTGCGTGCCGTGCACAGTCATGTTCATCTGACGTGACCAGCGCGCTGCAGCGGAATGTCATGCATGTGTGTACTGCTTACCCACGGCTGCATGGCCAGCGCCCAGGGGCCGCTAGACGTGCGACCGGATGTCCATGTCCACGACAGTACATGTAGTCTGAATGCTGGGCGGATCAGCATGCCGGGACCCATACTATTTTATGTTTCATGATACGGCGTGTTGTGTAGACGCACAACTACAAAGACACACACGGTTTTTTTACACACAATTATGTGAACATGCATGGACGGATGTGCACACAGACACGCAAACATACAAATACACACACGCACACATACACACACACACACACACACACACACACACACACAAACAAACAGAGTTGATTTGCCCAAAACAGTTCATTACGAAAATCAAAAAGGATTAGTCCTGATTGAAGAACATCACTCCAAAATGCCAAAATGCCCATTGATTCATGGCACAGAGTGGCTATGAAAAAAACGACATACAATCATTTTGTTTGTTGATTGGCAGATGATGTGGTGTTAGCTTTCACCTGGTCCTACATGAACGCTAGGACGGGCATGCCACGTAGGCAGCGCGCGCTAGCGTCTTGATTTCAAAATCATGCACGAACATGCGAAATATCACGATTTCGTATGAACAATCAGTCAATCACACATTTTCGCGAAAATTAATAATCTAACTTTGGCGTTAAAATTATTTTGCACCTTGTTGCAAAACAGTAGTTGTGTGACCACGGAACAGTAATGAGCATTGTACAAACATGCGTACACGCACAATCGTGACAGATACACAAACAAACAAGCAAGTGCAACAACACGTGACACGGACACGCGCGGATACAATACGCACTGGCTAACGCAATCGCCCATACCGTGACGCAGAAATCAAACTACTGGCCAACTACTTTACGCACAAGCCCGCCCCGCGTACACACACACACACACACAAACAAACAAGAATACACGCACATTGCGCGATGCATGTGCACCTACAAAACACGTACATGGTAGCGTGTCTCATACACGCACGAACACACCACCTGGTCACGCAACAACTGACACGCAGGGACGGACAAACATACGCACTATACAGCAGCACCCTTTGAATGCGCTCGCGCGCACACACGCGCACACAATATACCACTACTCACTGCTCCCATTTTGGTGGCTGACACCTCGTGAATCAAGCGATCATACTGCTCCGTCTGTTCTCTATCCTTCTGCTGCAGGAGAGCAATCTTCTCGGCAAATTTGCGAGGCGCTGCCATGCTACGCTCTGCAGACGATATCGGCTGCGTGCGACACGGAATCGCGGCCCTCGCAGCACGTCAACAACTCTCCTCCGCCCTGCAAGAAGCAGCGGGGCAATTCTGCTCGCAATGCGCCAGGCGACGAACGACGGGAGTCAGAATTCGGAGAACACACACGGCGCAGGATTCACTCATTTTCGCTTGTCTCGCTCGCCAGATCAGTAGATAGGACTAGGAGGACACATGCCGAGTTGGAGTGTGGATTTTGATGAGCGACTTGACGCACTTTGCTCAGTCAAGCCTCACCAGTGTCGTCATCATCCTCGTCGTTGTTCACGCGCTGCGCTTACTACTAGTAGTACCGTCACTGCGTCAGTACTGCACTGTACTACTACTAGTACTGAGTGCTAGCCATACACACACAAAAAAGTAGTCGTTGTACAGACTCAGTCGTCATCACGGGCATAGACGCACGCACTTGACTTGCACTCTCTCTTGTCTTGTTTTTATTACATTAATTTTCTGTAGCTTCACGTAAAAATGTCACACTTGCAAAGATAATCATGCCGTGTACAGTGTCAGTGAGTAGATCTACGCACACCATGGAACACAGGTACTGACTGTCTGTGCAGGTGAAAATGACTGTGATACTGTACTGAGTCTGACACTGAGTGCCCGGTGATGTACTGTGCTGAACAGTATCACGTCTTGTAAAGTTGTACTTCAGAAACGGAGGCCTGTAGCCTGTACTGCCATGCTGTAGTGTAGTCTAGACGCACGCCACAACTAAACCAACAACAATAACAAAGCGATGATCTCCTTCACCGCTCACGTCACTACTGACACTAGCCTGGGTTAGGCTAGATCGTGGATGCCACGGAGTCGTTGTCGGTATGTTCGAGTAGGATCATCTAGCCTCTAGGTCCGACTAGGATCTAGTAGGAGCCGTTGTGAAAAGACGTCTGACGCTGTCGGTGCAGCTTACAGCTTACATGCCATGGACATGGATATGGTTACTACTACTACTAGTAGTAGTAGTACTCTTGGTAATTATAGATCTGCCACTACTCCACTAGCTCTTGGCGGACAATGCTCGAAAAGCAGTTAAATATTGGCAGATTCTGCTCGAAAAACAGTGAAATATTTGGCAGAACTATACAAACCGTGTGGCCGTGATAGGCACTTCCTTGAAGTAGTTCTGCTCCATTTCTTATTCACACACCAAACATGCATGAAACATGCCTACCAGTTGAACATTGCCTTCTCAGTCGAATTGACAATGTTTTGCCAATAATTATTGATGATACAAAAGCAAACACCAGTAGATTCTCGTTGTCCTGATCTTTCCAACAAGCCCATCAGGTGCAGGATGATGAAAATGAATCAACGTGAACTGAAAATGAAATGAGAGAAAATAATTATTGCATTCGAAGCTGTGCGCACAAACTCCACCAGGAGAGTCAGTGCGCTGACAAGACAGTGGTTGCTAGAGAAAAAAGAGGGGCGGCGGTGTGAGCATGGAAAAGGGTTATACATATACATGTATATAAAAAGAGAAAGACCAAGGAACTACAAGTTACGCTATAGTTTGACAGCATGAAACAAGGTGGAGGACACTGTGTTCGGAAACAATGACCTTACTACAACCATCCAAGGTTGGTAGAGCCCCAGTCCCTGCGGACCATTTGAACCATAATGGGTGTTGAACCCGGTTCTGACCCTCATTATGCTAGGGGAGTTTTATACTTCTCCTTACGTCAGTCGTGTATTGTTTGATCGCTCCTGGGTATCTTCCTGATAGTCATGTAGCTACTTTAACCTGAATTGTTCGTAGTTAGGTCACTGTTTCCGAACACAGTGTCCTCCATCTTGTTTCATGCTGTCAAACCAACAACATGTGTGAACTACACTGTTACGTGTACATGTATAACAAGGTTTTATGTGTACTAGTATTGTACTAGTATTGAACTAGTATTGAACTAGTATTGGGTTTTACATGTACATGTACGATATTACTAGTACAATGTACTATTAAAATAGAAGAAATCACATGGAAACGAGTTATGAAACAACTGTAGTCGTGGATAGTTGCTTCATCTTTAAAAACTTGTTTCCGTGTGATTTCTTCTATTTTAAAAATTTCACTGCTGTTGCTCTCAGTGTTATTTCTCTAACTTAGATTTTCTATAATAGTTCAATTGTTGTTTCAGTGCCCTTTAGTACAACGACGATTTCTGATGAGTGTTGTACGAAAACTTGTTTGAATCCATATTTTTTCTCTGCACCATTTCTTCATATTTTCATCGTTTTATTCCACATCGTCTCCACCGTTTTTACATTGCATGAATAAAGTACACAGATGTCGGTTCAGCTAGTTTTATTGATTGCGGTTATCAAATTATTGTCTCCTCGCCGTGTGTTTTTATACTATTACTATTTTTTTTTCGGCAACGCAGATGATGATGAAGATACTAGTTTTGTGGAAAGGTCACAACACAGAGACAAGATCAAAAGGAAAGCTTTACAATAATAATAATAATAAAACGTAGCCTTACGAAGTAGTGGTTGCGACTTCGGCGATGATTTGTAAGACAGGGTTTGCTCCCCACACCGGAGCTCGCGCTATTCCGTCGACTTTACTTGACACTTGACTGACTCACGACTGCCATCCAGAGCACACGAGAATTCCATCAAACCTTCGACTCGGCAACCTGCAAGAAAGCACCACTCCCTGCTCAATACACAGTGTTTCGGGGAATTCACCCCTCATCAGTTGAGCTTGAGTAGGCTGAGGAAGATTGTGCCTGAAGAGCACCACTAACTATTATCGTGCTCTCCAGGCACAAACATCACCAGGGATACAAACTTACAGAGACGCTCCGTTTCCAGCGCGGCAAACACCTCGTGAACACCAGATAGCAGCGTGAGTCAGTGTCGCTCCTGGACGGTGAGACAGACGTCGAGGACCCTCGGTCATTCGCAACGCTGTCACCTCCAAACCAACTAGTCCCAAGCCCGCGTTGGGCACAACAGTACGAAGCAGTGGTTGCGACTTCGGCGATGATTTGTAAGAAAGGGTTTGCTCCCTACACCGGAGCTCGCGCTATTCCGCCGACTTTACTTGACACTTGACTGACTCACGACTGCCATCCAGAGCACACGAGAATTCCATCGAACCTTCGACTCGGCAAACCTGCAAGAAAGCACCACTCCCTGCTCAATACACAGTGTTTCGGGGAATTCACCCCTCATCAGTTGAGCTTGAGTAGGCTGAGGAAGATTGTGCCTGAAGAGCACCACTTATATAGTGCTCTCCAGGCACAAACATCACCAGGGATACAAACTTACAGAGACGCTCCGTTTCCAGCGCGGCAAACACCTCGTGAACACAGTCAGTCAAGTGTCAAGTAAAGTCGGCGGAATAGCGCGAGCTTCGGTGTGGGGAGCAAACCCTTTCTTACAAATCATCGCCGAAGTCGCAACCACTACTTCGTACTGTTGTGCCCAGCGGGGGCTTGCGACTAGTTGGTTTGGAGGTGACAGCGTTGCGAATGACCGAGGGTCCTCGACGTCTGTCTCACCGTCCAGGAGCGACACTGACTCACGCTGCTATCTGGTGTTCACGAGGTGTTTGTCGCTCTGGAAACGGAGCGTCTCTGTAAGTTTGTATCCCTGGTGATGTTTGTGCCTGGAGAGCACGATAATAGTTAGTGGTGCTCTTCAGGCACAATCTTCCTCAGCCTACTCAAGCTCAACTGATGAGGGGTGAATTTCCCGAAACACTGTGTATGGAGCAGGGAGTGGTGCTTTCTTGCAGGTTTGCCGAGTCGAAGGTTCGATGGAATTCTCGTGTGCTCTGGATGGCAGTCGTGAGTCAGTCAAGTGTCAAGTAAAGTCGGCGGAATAGCGCGAGCTCCGGTGTGGGGAGCAAACCCTTTCTTACAAAACGTAGCTTGTAAAATGTAAAGAGTCACTGAGTACAGTTTAATTCAATATCCATGTCCAGTATTTATAATAAAAATAATTTCTTCTATTTTAATTCTATTTACTGGCTCAGTATCCGAGTAAACAATGTACAATCATGTATTTTGTGGATAATGCCTGCAAAATTTTGTATTCTTTCCTGGTATGTTTCATGCATGTTTGGTGCATGTACATGCATACATTGTATGGATGAGGAAGAGAAGATGAGTTCGAGGAATTGCTCGCCAGTCGCCACAAGCATTCAGTTTCTATGGGATCCCTATGTTCTAAACGCACTATCTTTTCCTGCACTCAGGATCGCTGGCACCGAATCAGCTCACTTCGGAACTGCGTTCTTACGCCCCTGCAGCTACCTTCCCAGAAGCTTTTAGGGAATTCTAGAAAACGACAGTAGTCGGTTGGGTTTCTCAATTCAAGTACAATGTACAGTACATAGAATAAAGAGGGTCAGAACCGGGGAGTAGTACAATGGTATTGTACTACTCCCTGGTCAGAACCGGGTCTAACACCCGTATGGTTCAGATGGCCGTGAAGACCGGGGCTCTACCAACCACGAAGGTGTTAGTAAGATCACGGTTTCCGAACACGGTGTTCTCCACCTTGTTTGTTGTTTCATGCTATCAGCCAACAACATGTACATGTATGTACACTACCTGTACAATACCTGTACACTACCGCTGACCCCGCTGCTACGGTTCTGCCGCAATGCTTTTGGAGCAAAATCTGCAAACCATTCTTCCTAGCATTGTCCGCAAAGGTGTAGAGTACCGGTACTCAACGGGATGCTTCTGGTGGGCCTCTCTCTCACCTACTGAAGTGTACGGGTAGCAGTATCGGTGATGAATGGCTTCCGCTGGTAATCTACTTACATTCCCACTACTGGCACCCACACATCATGAACTAGGCATTTGCCGGATAATGCTCGAAAAGGTGGCAGATTCTGCTAAAAAAGCAGTGAAATTGGCAGAACCATACAAACCTTATGGCGGGCAATTCCTCGAATTCTGCTCCATTTCTTTATCCACATACCAAACATGCATGAAACTTACCAGAAAAAGTACCGAATTCTGCCAATTGTTTTGCCGGTATTATCCGCATATGCCTACCTTGAACTACACATACCATGAACTCCACACACTTGTGTTGTGCAACACGGCACAGTCAGACATGAAAGACTTTTAAAAGAGCGGTAACGCAAGGCATACGAGTCGTACATGAACCTGGCTGATGTTGATGTTAGCTGCAGCACGA